CCCCCCCTCCCCTCTACTTTGCCCCGCCCGCAGACGTGCGCCGCGCCCACGCTCGCCCTTTGTGCTTTTGGCTTTACACTGCCGCAGCGCGATCTGCTTCCCTTCCGTTTGCCTCTACTCTCCTCTCTCCTCTCTCTCGCACGCGCGCAAGCAACTCACCCATGCGCACCACCGGACAGCCCTTCTTGCATTCCAGGCGGCACTTTTTCGGACGGCACTTGTCGGCATTGACAATGGCAATGCGCGTCTCCTTGGACGACGTCTCGCGCGACGAGGGCGCCATGGTCGAAGCGGGGGAGCCGAGGAGCGGAGGAGCGAGAAGCGCGAAGCGAGGAGCGAGGGACTCTGGCGCAGCGAGAGCGAGCGAAGGCAACGAGGCGGCAAGAGAGGGGGTGTGGGAGTGCTGAGTGACGCCGCAGAGATGGAGAGAGGCTAAAAGGACGCGCGGAACGTGTGAGCAAGCTGCGTCGGGAACAAGGCCGAAGGCGAGGTGGAGACGATCGTCTCGAAGCGCGAATCGCGAAAGTCGAGAGAGGCGCGCGCGCCAGGCAGTCGCACTCGGCAAAGGTGCTGCCGCCGCCGCCGCGCCAGGCAGCGCGGCGCGCGCGTGCACAAATCGCTCCCTCGCCGTTGGCTGAGCCGCTCTTTCTCCCCTCGCTCCTCCAGTTGCAGGAATGGAGGCCTTTGCTTTTTGTTTCGCCCATCTGCCTCTGGCAGCCAGGCCTTTGCGAGGAGACCAGCAAGCCACAGCTGCTCTTCCTGCCAGTCGACGCCCGCAATTCCATCTGCGACCGCATGGCCCCCCTCAGGCCGCGACGGCAAGGCCAGACAGGCGTCCTGCAGAGGAAGCGTCACGTGCGCTGCCCTTCGATTTTTGGGCGTGGGAGCACCACCAGGCCATGGTTGAGCCGCGGCTTCTGAGCTGGAGGCGGCGCTGACTTTTGGCCTTTCTCGCTCGCGGCGCCGCAAGCAGCTTGCTGTTCAGCCTCCTCTCACCCATCTTCAGCCAGCTTGACCTCTCTGCGCGACTAGCAGCGTCCAGTCTCCTTCGCCGCACATCTCCTCTCCTCGCCCGCACCACACCAGGGAGGAGAGCTTTTCAACTCGCCCGCTTTCTCCTGCGTCGCATCCAGCCCCCCCTCCTCGCTCTTGCGCTGCGTGCCCCGCCGCCAAATTGCGCGCCCAGCCATGCCACGCGCGCCCTCCTCTGCTCCCAAGCGCAAGGGACCCGGTCCCAAGGGTCCCATTGAGCGTCCCCTGCCGCTCGATCCCTCGGCCGCGCCCGTCGCGCCGCGCTTCTCGCGCGGCGGCGGCGCAAAGGCGGGCGCTGGGCGGCGCAGCGGCGCAGCGCGCGCCGAGGCCCAGGTGGGCGAGCATCTGGATGAGGAGGAGCGCCAAGAGGCAGGCCTCAGAATCACGGGCTCCACGGCAGGCGCGGCCAAGGGAAAGAAGGACGGATTCGTCGATGCGGCACTGAGCCGAAACATCTTGAGACTGGCGCGCGAACAGGCAGAGGAGATGGAGATGGAGGCGGCCGAGGCGGCCGTCGTCGAGCAAGGTGCCGCCTCTTCTTCGCGCGCCGCAGGAGCGATGCGGCATGTGTCGCATGAGGAGCACATGGCCTCCGACGACGACGACGACGACGATGACGACGACGCGCGCTTCAGCGACACGGGCTCGCTTCGCTCCGATGAGTTCGGCGATGCCTCAGTGGAGGAGTACGAGGAGATTTCGCCCGAGGATGCCGCCATGCTGGCGCGCTTCGACGAGGAGAATGGCTTCGCGTCGGGCCCGACGAGTGCGCAGGGAGGCACGCTGGCGGAGCTCATCATGGCGAAAATCGCCGATTCGGAGCAGGAGAGCAAGAAGGGCATTCGCTTTGGACAGGGCGCCGTCGATGGACAACAGAGGGGCGAAGTGCTGCCGCCGGGCGTGAATGAGAAAGTGGCAGAGGTTTACACCAAGTGAGTTGGCGCCCCGCGGGCCGTTTACTCAGCCCCTCTCCCTGCGATGCGATGGAACGGAGATGGGTGCCAGGAGGAGGATGTAAGCGGGGGGGAGGAGTGGCCTTGCAGGGTTTGGCAACTTGCCCTTGGTGTTTTCGCCATCGCTGACCTCCAGTGGCGCTTTGCTTTAATCAAGAGTTGGCGATCTACTCTCTCGCTACAAATCCGGTCCCTTGCCAAAGGCATTCAAGATTATCCCCTCGCTTCCCAACTGGGACGTCATTGTCTATCTGACGAATCCTTCGACGTGGACGCCGCACGCGACGCTGGCCGCGACGCGCATCTTTGCCAGCAACCTCAAGCCGGCGCAGAGCCAGAAGTTCTACCGCTTCGTGCTGCTGCCCAAGTTCAGAGACGAGGTCGACGAGACGGGCAAATGCTCGACGCAGATCTTTGAGAGTCTCGTCAAGAGCGTGTACAAGCCGGCGGCCTTCTTCAAGGGAGTCCTCTTTCCGCTCACCGAGGTGAGTTCGAGCCCGCGCGCGCTCCTAGTGTGTTTCTACCGCTTGCTGACGGAGTTGCGCACCCCCACTCCACTTTCGGCAACCAACAACAAAACAGGGAGGTTGCACGCTCAAAGAAGCCGCCATTCTCTCCTCTGTCATTTCGCGCGTCTCCATCCCCGTGCTGCACTCTGCCGCGGCGCTGCTGCGCCTGGCCGAGCAGCACTACCGCGGCCCGACGTCGCTCTTCCTGCGCGTGCTGCTCGACAAGAAGTATGCGCTGCCGTACAAGGTCGTCGATGCCCTCGTCTTTCACTTTCTCCGCTTTGCCGATCCCGACATGGGCGTCGAGAAGATGGAGGATGGCACGAAGAGAATGCCGGTGCTGTGGCATCAGAGCTTCTTGGTCTTTTGCCAGCGGTGAGTCTCTGCCTCACCCCCCTCCCCTCCTCTTATTGCACTGCGAAACTCGTGCAGGTGGGCTGACCCCCTAACCCTTACCTCACATCGCGCGCGACCTCGTACTTTCTCTCGACGCTGTTTCTCGCTTCGCTTCCCCCCCCCCCTCTCCCGCCGCGCAGATACAAGCAAGACCTGACGCCAGACCAGAAGGCGGCACTCATCGACCTGCTGCGCGTGCAGAAGCACGACTCGATCGGCGCCGAAATTCGCAGGGAACTGACGACGGGCAAGGCCAGAGGCGAGATGCTCGAGGAGCCGATGGAGGAGGACGAGGCGATGAGCGTGTAAAGGGCCGAGGGAACGCGCAATGTGATGCCCAATGCCGACACGTATGCTGTGAAGGAGAGAGGGAGCTGCAGAGGGCTCACGAGGTACCCGTCTCGGGGTACTGGCTAGGCTCTCGCGTTGTGTCCCCTACCTGACACCCCCCACCAATCCCCAGCCGATGGAGGAGGACGAGGCGATGAGCGTGTAGATAGAGTGAATGCGACGTGATGCGATGCAAAGAGAGCCCAACGTCCGGGCCCTGAAGAGCGGTGGCAGGGATGGGGGGCGATGGCGCCACTGGCTGGGCACTCTCCTTCTGTCCCCCCCCCCCCCCACACCTGAAACGCTGGGTCCCTCTTCCCCCTCATTCCCCCATCTCCGAGGTACGAGGTTCCCAGGTAGTGCGATCGAAAAGACCCTGGCTGGCTACCTGGCTTAGCTCTCCCATTCTGTCCCCACCTGCTACCCCCCACCAATCCCCCACAGAGTTTCCGCTTGTAGACCCGCTCGCCGCCCGCGAGAAACATGGCTTGCCAATTCCTCTACCTCAAAGGCCGCTCCCTGCCGCTGCCGCCAGCGCCGACGGCAGCGTCAGCACTATGCATGTGCCGCCGCCGCCGCCGCCGCCGCCGCCGCATTGTCTCCCGCGCCGCGTATGCGTCCCGCCAGCAAGCTGCGATGTCTGCTTGCCAGCAGCGTCTGGCGCCGCACGAGGACGTAGAGGGCTGCTAGAGCTAGAAGCAGATCTAGCACCTGCTCTCGGCGTCAAGGAGAGAGAGGGGGG